GCGTGCGCGCGCGCGAATGCACATGTGCATAGGCCAGAAGTGAACCTGGGGTGTTATTTCTCAGGCACTGTCTACCTGTTTTTGAGACTCACTTTCCTGAAGCTCACCAATTTACACTTGGCTGCTGGTCAGCAGGCCCTAGGAATCTGCCCACCGCTGCCACCTCCCTGATACTGGAATTACAAACATGCACTACCACACCTGACTTTTTGCATGGCTTCTGAGGATGAAACTCAGGTTCTTCATGCCTGCAGGGCAAGCACTGTACCAAATGAGCCATCTCCCCAGCCTTGCTTTGGTTTTTTGAGACAGAGCTTGACCAAATTGCCCAAGCTAGCCTCTGCCTCAGCCTTCCAGGTGCTGGGATTAAGAGGTCTGGGAAAAGCGAGGGAGATGAAAGACAGTTACTAGGAATGAGAAAATAATTTTCATGTGTTAATACCACCAAGGATGATGTGGAAGAAAGGCAGAGAGGCTCAAGGGTTCTCTTTTCCTTTGAAGACTTGCTGGCACCTCCCCTAGGTTAGGAGTTGTCTTTTTTGCACTACAGTAGTTACCAGGAACAGGAAATGGTGCTCCTCATGACCTAGGTTGAAGACCTGTTCCTACTTTGTCTCCTCCCAGCACCAGCCCCTCCAGTGCTGTCTGTGGTGCTGACTGGGCTGAGGAAGAGAAGAGAGGAGGTTCCTTGGGAGGAAATAGGAAAGGTGCAGAGATTAGACAGCGGGGCCCATACCTCTTGCCCATACCTCTTGCCCTTGCAGGAGAATCGGAGCCTAACTATTAAACTGCGGAAGCGGAAGCCAGAGAAAAAGGTGGAATGGACAAGTGACACTGTGGACAATGAACACATGGGGCGCCGTTCATCAAAATGTGAGTGCTTGAGCCGGGGCAGCCCTGGCCTGCTGGCTTCTCTGTGAGCCTTCCACCATCCCATGTCAGCTGGCCTCATGTATGCTTACCAACTCCTCACTTTCTTGGTTCTCAGGGAAAAGAGAGGTAGTGGTGGGGCTAGAACTGAGGTGCCAGGGCCCAAAGGCAAGCCATGACAGGAGTGGGGGGAGGGATCTTCCAGTCCTTGACTCTGAAGGGACAAGGACAGTGACTGCCCCAGTCCCTGGGGTTGAAGGCAGGGGAAGACTGAAAATTTTCACAGAGCTCTGATGGGAATGTAACTGACTGAACAGTGGATTCCTGTTTTTTGACTGGCCTTCCTCCACACCCAGGCTGCTGTATTTATGAGAAACCTCGGGCCTTTGGTGAGAGCTCCACTGAGAGCGAGGAGGAGGAAGAAGAAGGCTGTGGTCACACACACTGCGTACGGGGTCATCGCAAAGGACGGCGTCACACAACCCCAGGACCAACCCCGACCACTCCTCCCCAGCCTCCTGACCCCTCCCAGCCCCCTCCAGGACCTATGCAGCACTAACTCCCTCTCCTTCACTATTCCTGTGTCTGCCTGGCCCCCCATGTATCCATCTGGCTACGTGGGAACTCAACCCATGGTCTGATCCCTTCTCTAACCCCCTCCTTCCCTTTCTTCTGCCTGGTAGAGAAGAGGAAGAGGAGGGTGGACAGAGACCCTGGAGTTCTGACTTGCTGCTGTTCCAGAACCCAGGCTTCTGGGTTCCCCCAGCCCTCATTCTTCCTGTTTTCCCTCTTGCTGAGGATCCAGGCATCTTGGTCCCAGTCTGTTCCTGTTCTCACTGCCAAACTGCCTGTCCTAGGATCCAGTTACCTGGGCTGCCTGCACCCTCAATTTGAGTCCCAAGCACTGACACTGGGTTTCCAACCGCCCCAGCTTTCACTGCCAGGGTCCCAGTCAGATTCCAGGCAATCCTGCACCCAGCTCTGCGTGTGAATCCTGGCTTCCAGTTCTCCCATTTGCGCAGTTAGGTCATCTTAAATTTTAGTCCTTGCCTCTGGGATAGAGGGTCTTATGAGACCATCTGGCTCCTAGCCCTTCCCTCGTTACCCCTTACCACCCCACGTGGAGTTAGAGGTCTTGTCATCCACACAGGAAAGTGAAACCAAAAATAGTCATGTCCTGAATCCCAGCCTTTGATGGGATGTAAGTTTTCTGACATAGCTGGCTTGAGGCTGGTGACTTAGAGCCAACCCTCTTCTCAGCCTTGAACCTTTGAGCTTAGTGTCACTGGCCCAAGGGCCTGGGTCCCTGAAAGGAGAGAGAGGGGGAGAGCAAAGAGATAGGGGAGGGCATGG